GCAGCCGCGAGAGATCTCAGAGCCCCAGGCTCTCCTTGGCGAGCTCTTGCCTTTTCCTCCTTCTCCCACAAGTCTTAAACACTCACATGCCGAGAGTTCAGCTCTATAAATCCTGTTCCTCTTTCCCATATCATAATTAAAAAAAACCAGTAGGGGAGGTTTTAACTTTTTATTGCGATTTCTGGAGTTGGGCTGTGGAGCATATATTAAGTTTACGCTTATGCGCTCTCGGCGGGGAGGGTCCTTTAAGAAATAAAAATCCATCTTAATATCTGCAGACGAGAGAGATAATTTTTCCCCTCCTCTTCACGCTGTTTCTTCTGAAGACTCCCTTCCAGCGAAGCGAATAAATAATCACCACCACCTTAGCCATGATCCATGGCCCCAGGGGCCTCGGGGCAGACGCTGGCCATCAGACTGGCCCTCACCTTGGCCCCATGAGAACTCACCCCATTCACCAGGATTCTTTTGGGCTGGACACCCAGACCCAAGGCTCAGTGACCAACCCCCATCAGCTCTTGGGCTCTGAAACAGAAATGGAGGCAGAGAGACCCAAAGCGCAGAAGCCCTTCCTTGGTGAATTTCGGCCCATCAGGGACCCAGTCTCCAAGACAGGCACTCCTGAGCACCCGCCTTTACTGGGGACTCATTTCATCCAACTGGCCGGTGCTTCTGGCAACCTGAAAATTCAGAGATGGCTGGGGGCTCCCAAACAGGGGGTCCCCCTGCCTGCCTCTAACCAGCTGGTCTTCTTCTCTGAAAACCTCCCTATTCCCTGAGAGCCATAGAGAGATTTGAGCACTTCCATCCAAGGAAAGATATTTTTCCCCCTACAAATGGCTAAGGAACAGATGGAAAGTCAACCTGACAAATTCAGCTGGAGTGAAGAGAGGCTCTATTCCCATTTTCTCCTCTATCCTCCTCAGGGTGAAAATAAATCTCGTTGTATAACATAGAGAAAAATAAGTGAGCATGCAGGTAAATATATATAGGGGATTTGAGAGAGCCTAGAGGAGACAGGGATGTAGAAACAGAGACCCACACTCATACAAGGTTACAGATATCCCCTAGCAGACAATTGCAAGAATATGGAACTCCATGTATATGTTTTGTTACAGGGACATGACTTTATTTCCCTGTCTGAAAGTTTATAATGTTTTAATAATCATAATAATTCCCAAGTAAGAAAACCTGTCCTCCTTTTGGCTTTCTCTTTCCCAGTCTCTCTGAGAACTGGGGTATATCTCCCCACTCTCCTGGATTCTCCCCCCCCCCCATTTTTCTCCACAGGCAGAGAAACCTCTTTTGAGAGCTTCTCTCTAGCAACAGGGTCCAGAATTGAGGAACCAAGGGCAAGGGGTGGATGGCGAAGGAGGGGAAGCAGCTTTGCAAAGTTTCACATTGCTCAGATTTCCTCTCACTCCATTTCCTCCCCTCCTTCCCTGGCATCAGCCAACAGCCTTCCCAACAATATGGTAAAGGTGGGCACTGGCAGCCTCCATTCACCCAGACATTTCCACACAATGAAAGACAAGCAGCTGCCTGACAGCCACAGACACCACAGCCCAAGGCCTACGGGCCACAGACAGCTAGACTGAGACCAGAGCTAGCTAGGTTCTTGCCCTAATGTTTCCTAGTGTGTGTGTGTGGGAGGTGGGGGGAGCATTTCTACTTGGACTTGATGCTTTCTTACTAACACCCTAACTATGCCCTTCTCCTGGGCAGGGAGCTATAGAGGGGGAGGGAAGGTGAACAAGCTAGTGCTCAGAGGTCCCCAATTGTTGGGACCCCCGGGCACCCCACTTTTCTAAGGGGAAGCTTCGCCCCAGCCTTCTGGAGGCATAGTTTTTCTTTGGAGGTGGCAGGTGAGGGAAACTAACCCTTCCAGAGACTCCCTTCTCTTTCTGTGCTCTTCTCTCTCCTAATGACCCTGCCCTACCCTGGCTGGCCTGCCAGACCACCTCTCACTCAAATTCCTCAATTTCCTTGGAATTGGCTAGACCGTCTTTGTCTGTCTCCATCAGCTGAGTCCAGGAAACAATAGCTGCAGGAGAAACTCCTCTCCCTGAGCCCCAGGGATTGGGACAGGCTGAGGAGTAGACTGTAGAAAGTGGGGTTTTCAGGCTTGCCCGGCCTGGCCCCACTCACAGCTTGCCCTCCTCAGTCTGTATCCAATGTGCCCTACCTGGAAGGGGGCTGTGGGGCAGGCCCACAGGGGAGGGACGGAGCTGGATAGGTGGGTTGGGGCCCTCGACGAAAACCGACTGATGTAACTCAGGCAGTTTCTTGTTGCCGAGTTCAAAACTCAATCCCAACAACATGAAACTACCTAAGCCACAGATCAGCTGAGCGAGCAGGGCGGGAGATTCAGCTTTGCATCTATCGGGAGGAGAAGGGAAGGGGGTTGGGGAAGGAAGAAATTCAGCCCCGTCCCCCTTTCCGCCCCCACAACCTCCCTAAAGACTAGAGAGTAGACTTAGGGTGGCTGGGTGGGTAGGGGTCTGACTGCCTCATCAGCTTCTGGTCCAAGCAAAATGTTCAGGGAAATGCTGATGAAATGGGACCTCCAGTCACCAAACCCACGCCCCACCTCCAGCACCGCAGCGGACCCATTCCCCTGCCTCTGGCCCTGGCCCTGGGGGAAGCCCAAGTGTCCGTCCTTCCACTCTTGAGCTGGGTCGCCTGTCTTGTCCATCGGGCTCTTCCGCACTCTCCTCCTAGATTCCCTCTGATCCTCTCCCTCTCAGCTCAACTCTGGCTTCCCTGCTTTTGTGGGTAGCCGAACCACAGAGCCTGTGCTCCAGCGCCTCTTCCAATCAGGCCACTTGCCTGGCAAAGCCCCATGGTTAGGGAGTGTGGGGACCGAGAGCCTGGATAAGGCTCACATCCAAACCAGCAGAAAGCAGAAAAACCTAAGCGTCAAGCTCCAACCCTCTCCAGCCCACCCTCCCTCTGCTCCCCTCAGCAGACAGCCAGACGGAGCGACATCGAGATCCATGTGTCAACCTCGAGGCAACCCTAAGTGCCAGCGGAAGAGAAAGAAGCCAAAACCTACCAATTTACCCGTTTAACCACTGGACCCCACAGCAACAGGCCGAGGAGGGGAGGAAAGGGAGCTCACGGCCACTGCCCTCCGCTGCCAGCATCCACAAGTCCACAAGCAAGCCCGGGCTCTCGGAAAGCTCGGGTGCCCAAAACTCCTTCCTTCCTGTTCTGCCCGCCGTGCACCGGGCACCTGGGGACGCTGCTGGTCCCCACTCTGCCGCCAAGAGAAGAACAAGAAACCGCTTCTCCTACCTTGTCGCCGCCTCCTCCTCCTGCCGCTGCCGGCGCTTCTGCTGCTGCTGTCGAGGGGAGGGGGGTGGCTGAGCTCCTCGTGTCCCCCTCCAGCGGTTAAGTTTATTCCT